ACAAGGCTTTTCAAACCTTCGATCGATCGATTCGATTGTTGATCGAAGTTTCAAACACAGAAATTTTTGAAAATTCTCATCCGAAAAAAATTAATTACAATCAAACAAAAAAACAAAATTAAACTGCTATTTACATTGCACGGCTTCCCACATGATAGATGAAGAGATTAAAAAATTGATTGAGTTGAACAATTGATATTTTTATAAGTTATCATGTTTACCCTTCCGTGCGGACTTGGTAAATCTACGCTCTATAATATCTCTATCCATAAGCCACTAAAACCATTTCTTTAAATGTAAAAATAGCAATTAATCGATTTAAAAAAATCAATAAGTTGAACAATCATTTAACTTTCTGGCAATGTGCTTTTTACATCATTTATATGTTCAATAAGATTGTTAAATATGATTTCATGTGACAAAACGTTACGGATTTTTGATTTTTAGGCGCTGGTAGAACATATCTACGCGCTTTGCGCTTAAGGCACACAAAATACAATGAGCCCTCCATTTCGGTGACACACCGATGAGCCTGTTCACTCCTGACACTTATTGTGAGATTAATAGTCATGCAGCACGGCTCCAAGCGTCAGTGCGGCCAATGCCAAAGTCATGTTATAATGTCTGTATGAGAATGTTATCAATGACGTCATGTTTTAATATCATAATCCTCACAAGTCTTCATATGTTTCCCACCAAGCGTTTGGCCCCAAGAAATCGGTACCCAAGGAATGCCACAAAGCACGGTCCTAAACCACCATCCATCGACTTCCTGCATCTCTTAGAAGGTCGTCACTTTATCTAGTGTCTAGTGTACACTTTCCTTGCAGGTACGAGGCTGCCACTCGAGAACCGTTCCCCATCGGTTCTCGATTCCTCGAGCTATATGGCTAGCCCATTGCCACTTCAGCTGATATACTATACTAATCCGTTTGGCTATGTTGGTTACTATGATTCTACTGCAGACATCCTTAATTTATAATGTAAATTATAAAATATTTACATATTAAAGTTCTTCGAACTGAAAAGTTACAATTACTAACAAGCACACTCAAGGTCTGGTCATCGGAAAGTTAACTAGACCCTGAAGCGTCTTAAATTAAAGGAAAACCGTTATGACTCAAAAAAACGAAAATCAGATTAATAAAAAAAATCGATCTAATATGATGAAATAGAAAACTTTATTTGAAATACCTCGAGGAAAGCATTGCTTACTACATACGTATCAAACAGACAGATGTAGGTCACCCTATAAATTTCCTATATATGCTAAATAGATTCATATCATTACATGGAACAACGTCGTAGATAATCGCATTAAAATTTATTCGACTACAAATCGAATCGGAATTCTTCTTTAGAAGTCAATACATTTGGTTATACGAGTATTCGATAACACGACAAGTAGTAAATAATAAAAATCATATTAAGTTTTTTTTGTGAAACTAATAATGCACATACAGACCGGCCTGAATCAATTACTAATACAATAACACACTTAAACATAATACCCGTCTTCATAAACGATTATCGCTTCGTGAGTATCTCGTTTAGAGCCAGTGAGATTCCACGTACGGAGTAATTTCTAAAAAACTGAATCCGCGACTTGTCTTTGTCGCTGGTAACAAAAGGGCAGTTTTTTTTTTGTTCAAAGGCTAAGTATTCATCTAGAAAACGCCAGAGTTCTTGGCACGATACCGCGGGGTATGTATATTAATTTTTTTGTTTTAGTTTTAGTATTATGATAACGAATATTGTATATGTTATAAATAATCTTTAACTTCTACACCACAAAAGCTTATACCATGAAAATGCACCATTCACACTAGACACGTAGATACACACGTAGATAATTTATTTTTTTATAGTAGAGGGGGAAACGAGCATGCGGCTCACTTGATCGTAATATAACTACCGCCGCGCCGCCCATGAACAACTGCAACACCAGGGGCATATGCGTTGCATATGCGTTGCCGGCATTTTAGACATGAGTAAGCTATTCTCTTGAAGGTCGTATCGGTCCGCAAAAATCGCCGGTGGTAAACGATTCCACAAAGAACGTTCCACGAAGAAGAAAACTTCTAGTAAAACGTACAGTGGTGGACTGCTAAGCATCCAGATGGTGTGAATAGTACCTTGTGTTTTACCCCGATGTGCTTTCGTGAAATTTGCCGGCTGGAATTAAGGTCACAGGTCATTAGAGCCACCCGGCACCCGACCCTCGCCGCCTCGCCTCGAGCGGTTCGTATTCTTCGTATGGATTTGTATAGGCCTGCGCTCACTACATCAACTCCGTACCATCACCGGATCGCCTCGAACGCGAGGTGTCCACGCGCAGACTGCGAGTGGACCACTGGTTGATAGCTCGCTGCTAGCATGCTTGTCTCGCGTGAGGCGCGAGCAGGCAACGCGCGGTTCACGCGAGTGCGATGCGGCGCTCTCCACCGACCTTTAAGGTCACAGCTCTTCGTCTTAGAGCTACCCGGCACCCGACCCTCACCGCCTCTTCGCCAGGCGTTCACTCGTAGTCGACAGGTGGAGCACGGGTGGACGCCGCGTTGTCACCAGTGAACCTCGCGTGGTCATCGAGTGGACCTCGCGTCGTCAACGAGAGGATCTCGCGTGATCAAAGAGTGACCCTTAAATCATACAATAAATTATACTTCCGAACTTATTCAAGAAGATTTTCTTTGTTCATTTTAAAAACAAACAACAATACAACCGTCAAATTCGAAAGAAAGGCTCGAAATGAAGGGTTATGAAGTACTCTATGAGGCTTTAAAGCCTATTAATTCTGTGGATGGACTACCAGTGCATATTGAAGTAAGCATCTATTACAACCACCTTGTCCAAAAACATCGTATATTTGTAATCAATACATGTGACTAACTTATCTTAATATTTTTTCTAGGTAGGTAGTTTACATCTTTCAGTCTCTTGGCAGATGGTAGTTACCTACTAGAGAGGTACGAGTCAAGACCATATCATGGCTGTTGTTCAAACAACAAATAATCAGCAAATACTCGACCTAAGTTATTGCGGCCATCATTAGAATGTGGGGAGCCACTTTAATTAGCCTCTTGTGTAGGTAAATGCAATTTTCATTGCATCTACTTCTTTCATTTTATTTTTGACTAATACTGAAGTGAATGTCTTTACCGGGCATATAACAAGCAAGGCAAAATGTAGCTAGAGGGTGCCTAGCAGAGCATGGTCTGCCAGATATTCTTAGGGCTATTGACTGCACCCGTGTTGATATATTTCACCTACCATCTCAAACTGGGGTTTAGTACAAGGAAAGGGCGGTCTACATTTCTAATCTAAATTGTTCAACTGGTACAAACAAGTTATAGTTTTTAAAAAACCTAAAACGTCTAATAATCATTTTTTTAAATAAAGAATAGTAGTATTATATTAATCTATTCCCCTTTTCCACTTACACTATAACGTATAGTTGCGTGGTAAAACAATTCAAAAATCATTTTACAGTTAGTTTAGTTACGTTACTAAGATTAGGCCAGGGCTGTATTCAGACCCTCAAAAATATTGCGCATGAAAAATAAAATTATACTATTTAAAAAAAATTATATCACGTTTGACGTTTCATGTTTCTTTTTTCCCATGTGCCGGGATTTTGGCGTCACGCGTCTTCTAGTTTATATATACGTTTCGTTTTTGACGGTTTCACATTTATTTCTGTTTTTGCCTAAAGAACTTAGTGTAAGTAAAATTTTGAATATTGGTACCTAATATATTTTATATTCAATAAGGGTAAAACTAAAAGAGTACAAAAGAAACCATATCTGCTTAATTGGATCTGAAAAACTGATTCATAAAATATTTTGAAATTCTATTTTCAAACTGATTGCTTCTTGAGGATAGAGTATTTATCGTGGTAGCCCCACGTCAGCCAGCGTCATAGTTGTATCAAGGATGCAACATAAATGCATCGATCGAGCGTCGATTGACCACAAAGGGAGCTAATTCTAATTTTATTTAAAAAAAAAAAACGCTGTACTCATTTACACTACAGAAATTCTCGATACGGTAGGGGTAATATTAAAATGTAAAAATAGCCAATAATAATACAAGTCGACCTTTAGGTAAAATTATGGTATTTTCGCTTAGTATTATTACGATACTATGTATTACAAACTTTGAAATAATGGTACAATTAGGATAGTTATACTACGAAATCTGACCCTGGTTACGTTGTGTTTTGATATGACGTTTGTATTATGACAGATTCGCTACTTTTTCTTGTATGAAAAAGTTATGAGTATAATGTTTAGATGGGCCTATCCTTCCTTTTGAAATAATTGTTTATAATCATATAACATTTGCTGTCAAGTTGTGTCTTAAGAACCTGGGAAATTTAATAAATCATAAAAAAGGAGCCAAAAGTACAATCATTGGCCATTAGTGTATAGAAATTGGCATATCAAAAGTATAATTATTGGCATGTCATGTCATGTCAATCATTGTACTTTGTGTTTATTAGCACTGCCAATTATTGTACCATGTTAGGGCCAATCACTAAAAAAAATTATAATATTTAACGATAGTTATGTGCAGGGTATAACTTTTTTTTCGATTTATATTTACATCGAGCTTTCGTCCATATTTAGGTATTCATCATTAAGAAAATTACTAAGTTCTTCTTCATTACGGAATATCTCTCTTCTGTTTAGTATAGAGTTGGGTTTGGATAAGACGAATGTACTTGTATCAACGAACTGTTTTATTAAATTTTCTTGGATTATGCATAACTGGCGCCTTCACAACAGACAAAATTTTAATGTTACTTTCTTTATTAGGCTTTGGAATAGTTTTTTAATCTGGTCTATATCTAATAACTCAGTCTTGGTATCATCACACTTAAAAATATTGTTCTCAGTCTCTTTATCACATACATCTATTTTAATTTTTTTATTGTATGCGGTGGTTATTGATTTATCATATTTTCTTTTTCGTTCTTTTATTTCGTTTTTTCTTCCTCTTTATTTTTCTTCAATTTTTGAGTTTTTATTTAATAGATGCCTAGGAACTTTTTCTTCTTGTCTTAATATTTCAATGTTTTCTAAGTTTTCCGAATCGATTTTCATATTTTTGGTATGCTTTGATATTTTTGTGACGCTTTTTACTGTTTTCTTTTCTCTTGTCTCTCTTTTTACGTTCTTCTTTCTCTTTTTCTTTTGTTTTCTTCTCATTTTTTTCTTTCCTTCGATTTCAAGCCATTTGCGGCTGGTCAAGACATAAATGGGATTGTTGGTCATAATTTTCCCCTTACGTTGTGGTGTCTGGGGCCAATTGAGAATTTCTTTTAATTTCGGAGGTGTCATTTTGCTATCGCATTTAGCATTGTCAAAATTAAAATCATATTTTTTGTTATTTTCTGTCTCTGCTATTTGGTTTTGGTTATTAATGTTTGATTTATTAATAGTCTCTGTAATGTTATCTATTACTAATACATTTGGATTTGTTATTTCATTTGACTCTTTGTTTAGAACATTAACAGTCCCTGTATTTTCGCTCGGTTTGTCAACATTATGCATTTCAACAATAGCTGTTAATTTAGGTGACATCAATTGATTTGGGCCTTTAACGATATTATCACTGGTAGGTTCCAGAACATTTAATATTTAATTTTTTAAGTAATTTTGAGTGTCTGAATCTGAATTCGCTATAAGTTGGCTCTGTTTATAATTATTTTTCATTTCAATAGTATTCCGAATATCTGCTGACAAATTGTAGGACTCTGTTAGGTTTAGGGTCTCCAAATCGTCAAATAAGTCTGTTGTAAGTAATTCAGTATTCTCTGTTGTTTCAGTTTCAATAGTGTCTGTATGAGATTCTTCAATATTATTGGAGTTTGAAATTACGATTGGTATGTCATTTATTGCCGTTAAAATACGTTTAGGATCTCGTAGAATATGCTGAAACTTGGTTAAAAGATGAAGAATTCTTCTTCTTTTAACCAAGTTTCAATTTGCTGAAACCATTTTTTGATGTTCTCTTCTGATACAGTGGCACTTGCCGAAGTAACAGCTTCAGCCATTCTTTGTATTACTACTGTTTCGGGGTGACGTTTAAGAAACAACTTGTATCTCCCCTCTCCTGGCGTATTATCTATAAAATTATTTGGCCTAGGTGATTTCTTTAGAAAGTCAGTAACACTTTGTAATAGATCTTCTTTACGCCGTGTTTGTGTAAATCTTTATACCTATCTAGACTCAGTTATTCTCCGAAAATTATAATTTCAAAATAATAGAAATTATAATGAAGTGGATATTATTTCAACCCCAATACACATAGTATTTGAATATTTATGTTATAAATTTCCACTTTATTGCTAAATAGATCTACGAAAATATTTAAAAAAGGTTATTTCATGCATAAAATATCGTGATTAATTCCAAATTTGCAACTATTTGTAGGAGAAATTTAGTATGTATTTTTCATATGAAATATTATTCGATAAAGAATATGTAGTAGGTAGTAATTATTTTTTTAAATAAATTCATATTGTCGTTTATTGCTAAAATATAATAAACAAAACAAAATTAATAGGTAATATTACGCGGCGTTTTGCGCGCTCTTTGAACTCAAAAGCGAAAGCCGACGAAGGACTTAGGTACTAGGAAAAACCCCAAAAACTCCACTCTTCGAGTGATTAAAAGTAGCATCCACTTTATGCCGATTAACTAATTTTGATCCAATATCTCTTATTTATTCTGTGCTAATATTTAGTAGTAATATTTAAAAACATGGAAAGTTTTATGAACATAAAATTTTGTCACAATTCAGTGATCAAGAATAATAACAAAAATAAGGGTTGTTTATCGTCGGTCGATAAAACATATAAGTCGGTGTCGCAAATGTGTGACAGGTGTGACATATTGAACAATATCTTCGTGGTCGTCGTATCTATTATTTATTCTGTGCTAATAATATTTGGTAGTAATTTTTAAAAACATGGGAAGTTTTATAAACATAAAATTTTTTCACAATTCAGTGGTCAAGAATAGAAATATAAATAAGTATTGTTTATCGTCGGTCGATAAAAAATGCTAATTATTAGATTTTGAAAAACACAGCAGCATAATAGTTTAAGTATTTGTTATTGTGTGGATTTATAACACAATTTTTTAATTGTTTCTTGTTATAAAAGTGTTTTAATGTATTTTTACTAATCCTAGCTATAATTTAATTTCTTAATAACACTTACGGACGCTGTCTGAAGTAAATAATTAAATAATAACTATTATTTAAAAAATAACATAAAAAATCACGAAATTTTTTATCGATTTAGAAAATATCAAAAATTATGTTATAGAGTACAATAGCTTTGCCACGTCTATGTAAACAAACAAGCATCAAGCACCAGTACCGCGTTAGCACTGATATTGACGGTTGTATCTTATATTGCGAAATTAATATTCCGCCGTGAGTGACTTGTGTGCGATGTCTTACTCAAACGAGGAATATTTTAATATGTTGATGGGTCTCGGAAAATGTAACTGTAATTATGCAGCAGCACGAAGACTTTACGGGGAGTGCTTTGCTACTCCACGAAATATACAATTGCCATCGGCGATGACGTTCCAACGACTTCACATTCGTATGTACAATACTGGCAGTGTGCATGGCCGTGATCAACAACGTACAGATTCAGTAAGACCGAGGATGTACGACGACGACATCGAGGAGCACATTCTCGACATGTTTGAAGAAGATGCGACGCGGAGCACGCGCTCGGTTGCACGTGAACTAGGTGTGAAACATATGCGTGTTTGGAGAGCGCTCAAAGATGATGGCCAGCACCCATATCATTATCGTCGAGTTCAGTGTCTTCTTCCCAACGACTACGAGCCGAGAATGGATTACTGTAGATGGTTACTTGATAAGGTTGAAGGAGATCCTGAGTTTTTGAACCGCGTACTTTTTACGGATGAATGCTCTTTTGTAAGAACAGGTGTATTTAGCGCTCATAATGAACACGTATGGTCAACGATAAATCCGCATTCGTATAAACCAAGCCACTTTCAACACCGATGGAAAATCAATGTGTGAGCGGGAATTATAGGTGACAAAATTATTGGTCCGTATTTCCTTGACCACACAATGAGCGGTGAAAACTACGGACGTTTTTTGCGAGACGAACTAAGGAATGAACTTGACGAAATAAATTTAGACCTCGTTCGTCGCATATGGTTTCAACACGATGGTGCTCCAATGCATTTCTCCCGTTGTGTAAGAAGTTTTTTGGATACTGAATTCGGTGGAAGATGGATTAGCCGCGGTGGACCGGTCAACTGACCGGCACGATCACCTGATCTCACACCTTTAGATTTTTATTTCTGAGGTACGATTAAGCAGACTGTATTCCAAAAAACATGCGATACCGAGGCAGAAATGCGTCGCAGCCTTTGAAAAAATAATGTCCGAAATGTCTGTTGCAACGCGTGGGTTCAGACATTATAAGTCGGTGTCACAAATGTATAGAGGTGCAAGGTGGACATATTGAACAACATCTTCGTGGTCGTCAAGTAGACATAGTGATAAATTAGTGTTTGACTATAACAGCTGTCATGTGACAAAGTCACGACCTCAGTGTGCAGTTAGGGTAGGTAAGACGCGCGCGCGCGCGCCCCGTCTTTGATGTAGGTACGTCACCGCCGGCTGCCACCCGCCGCTGTCGATAATTCCAGGCAGAGATAATCAATCCACATAAAATTTACAAATATTATTTAATTAAAATTTAATTTGATTATTTTTATGTCGAGTTTTCTGAAGTAAAGTTATTTCCGTACGTTTGAATACTGATTCTGATAACGCACTTAACGGGAACCACGGGGTTTTTGTTACATATTGTATACATATATACTTAGTATACTTGTTTTATACTAAGTACTTCGGAAAGTGCTCGACAGATGCGCCATATTGGCCAAAATGACCCCGAAATTCGAGTGGCTAATGATTATCACGGCTAATAACGTAAATGTATAATGATTGGCACCGCCAAAATATAGTTACGGCAAACTTATGACATTTTGATTATTGTTATTTAAAAGGGAGTTGTCATTAGCATTTATCAAAAGCTTAAAATATGGAGTTAATTTAAAACGCTTACTACTATTATTGGCAGGGATGCCAATCAATTAATCTTTCATATCAACCATGGATACTAACTTTGGCCTACTAATTTTTAGGTTATCTTGAGTATTTTTGCATCAATCATAGTATAAAAATCTAAATTGAATGGTAATTAACATATAGAAATACATATCTCACAATTAGAATAAGAATAAAACGGGTAAATATCAAAAGAACTTACTTCTTACGATTTTCGTAACAAAACACTCCCTTAGTTTTAGTGGCTGCAATGTGATTTTTTTTTGGAGTTTATGGCCTGGTATCTAGACCTTTAGGCCAGGTCTTGAGTATTTTTATTCGGTTTATTATAATTTCCCCACTGTATTTTTGATAAATTTATATAGAGGCACGTAATAGGATCTATTTTTTTTCATATCACTCAGGCGGCGGGAGGGATCTTGCACTGTCACTTGATTTTGCACTATGTCACTTATTTCACTGACAAGAATCAATCTGTCAAATGAAAAACACTCACATATAAATATGAAATGTTCGATATCACCAACAGAATTATTACAGTAGGTGCAGTAGCTGCTCTCCATTATGCCCAACCGAGCCAGGTGGGCCGGGACGGTGGAGTGACCAAAACGCAGTCTGTTTATAGTCGTAATAAAGTCCCGACTGGTCATTTTCAGTTTGTTATACCATGGTGTTACAGGCAGATTTTCTTGAACATTTCCATACCATTTACCCTTTTGTTCTTGGTCTTGTTTCCAAAATTCGACCCATAAGCTATTGACCTGGTTGTCAATAGATTCATAACAGTCGGTCAAAGGTACTTTTACTATGGAGCTAACATCCAACATGTTGGTTCCATCACGTGCAATTTTATCTACTATCTCATTTCCTGTTATGCCCCTATGTGATGGAATCCACATGAAAGAAACCTGTATACCCTTTTGTGCATAACTAAATAACAACTTTTTAATATTATACAAAATATAGTTTTTTTTAAAGTCAAATCTGAGATTGGTTAAACTTTGGACCATACTTAAACTGTCTGTTAAAATTAAAAAATTATTAAAACTATTTATATGTGCGATCCTCTTCAGGGCCTCGAGGGCCGCATATACCTCTGCAGTAAAAACACTGCATTTAGGATCCAAAAGAAAACTTTGACCAATCTTGGATTGGGGATCATAGACAGCACTGCGCACAAAGAGCTCACTTTTGCTACCATCTGTATACAAAGTATAGTAGTTATTATCGGAAAGAAAACTTAATAATTCACAGTTATTAAAAAAATTTTTAGTAACAATATTGGTCTCAAATATAATACAGGAATATGGGTAAGAGTAGCATGTCCACTTTGATTGTTTAATTACATTTTTAAAATCTTCATTCATTTGTAGTACAATGAGAGGCAATACTGGGAAATAACCTCGTAAAAGCTCACCTC